CGACAAAAGCTTATATTTGCTAACTATTAATGCGAAAATACACAAAACGTCAAACAATTTGTTTTCAGTTTTAATAGATAATATAAAGGATTATATCTCAACAATGAATTCGAATGAAAGGTATTTATGGTCATAGATTATTTAGCGGGAGGGATCAAGGTGATATATTTATATATATTTTTTATTCTTTTTAAATACTCATTTTATATATTTGCAATAACAATGATGACAGTAAATTAAACAAGAATAAGAATAACGTTTACTTTATTATTGGATATTTATTAGTAAATAAGTTGTTAAAAAAAAAAAAAAAGAAAAAAGAGTAAAAGTTACACAGAAAATATTTATCATATTATCATATACAATTAATTGTATGTTTTAATTAATAAAATTATAAAATATTTTGTTTAGGTAATCTAAGGAATCACGTGTTCACCCACACTAATGAAAGGCCATATAAATGTGAGCTTTGTGGTAAAGGATTTAACCAAATGTCAAATTTAGTGTGTCATAAAGTTAAGGCACATGCGCATACAGAAAAAATGCAATATACTTGTACAATTTGTGGTAAGGAATTCCCACGAAGATTTTCATTGAGATCGCACGAAGAATATAAGCACGGTATTAAATATCGGCAACCAGTTGGTCCGCAGGCCGGACTTAATGATCAGAATATTATGAGAAAGTACGTATTAAAGATTAGAGTTTAAAAAGATCTAATCTATATAAATTATTGAAGTAATTTATCATAAATTATCATATAAATTAAGAAGCATTATATACAGAAATATCTATGAAAATATAAGATGCATTCGATATTGTTAAACATTTTTTAAGTATTTTTTTTTTTTTTTTTTTTTTTTTTTTTGATATCTTATTTTATATATTTCGAACTTTCTCGCTTTTACATGTATGTAATTTTATCTAGTAAAAATGTCAGAATAGTACAACTACCCGGTGAGGAAGGAAATCAGATGCCTGAGGTTAGAGATAAAAGCATATTTTTAATTTATTAAAAGGAAATTAATAAAAAAAAAATTTTTCTAATGCGTACCGAACGTTCATATATATTTTTATAGATCCTTTCTTCAACGGGTACCGAAGATCTAAGAACAACTGAGAAAAATAATTCTAATGGTACTAAAGATCTGGATAATATCAAATCTATACAAATACGTATGCCGCTCGTAAATTCTGTCATTCAAAAAATAGAATCTGATGGAAAATCACGTTATACTGTTGATTCTGGATCTGAATCTCATCAAGGTATCTTTTAGATTATTCTCGTGCGTGTAAAAAAAAAAAAAAAAAAAAAAAAAGTAATATGTAGTTATTAATATATGTAAATTTGCTTCTACACGGATTCATGTCCGTCTACGTTATTAGATGCTCAGTTTACGTATTCCGAACATATTGGAAATGAATCGCACCGTTCATTTGATCCATCTACGATTTCATCGACCGATGAATGTAGCGAATTATTGGATCTTGCTGCTCAAGGTGGGATACAATTTGTTCGTGCTACTGAAGATGGTCGTTATGAGGTAATCTTCAAATGGCCTAATTGATATCATTTTATAAGGAACATAAAGATTTTATACAACTTTAACATCAGGTAATGACAAGTAACGAAGCTCGTGATCTAATGGTTCAAAATTCACACGATTTGGCTATTCTTAATAGCGAGGAATCGGATGCTATTAATGTTGTAAATTTACATAACAATAATGATATAATCATTGGTGATGCCGATAATCAAATTATGGTTTTAAATTCTAATTCAACACGAAAGCAAATACCAATGGATTCGATTGAGATATTAGAGGACAAAGATATCAGAATTTTAGAAAGCAAAAGTCTCGATGATCGTTTCATAGAAGGTCTTAACTTTTTACCCCAATCGAAAATTGATGACTTCATTCTTGGTTCTAAATCTTTAGGTATAGATCATAATGGTATTAATATTACAGAACACGACGACGAAGGTGAATTAATATTTTATGTATTAAGTTCTATAATATTTTATATTTATATATATTTAATACTAAAATTATTTAATACGTTTATGTAGGGCTAGACGTTATCTCGAATCATCATGATTTTGCGAATATTCTTAGCCATCGAAATGATATTGCAGCTTTATCAAGAGAAACAACTGCTTCTTCTTTATATAAGAATCATTCGTCGACATCGATATTAAATAATACATTGTCTTATCTTAAGGCTAATCAAAGTATATCAGAAGATATGTCTATTATTAACAATTCTACAATACAAGATCATGCGGAATACGATCCCAAAATAAAACTACCGATGGTCTTTGATGAAAATGATCACAATACTGGAATCGTATCCCTCAATCATCCAGAAATTAAAATTCTTGATTCAGGAAATCAAGTTACGAAAGTAAGAAAGAGAAAAAGGAAATATATTTAACTGATAATGATTAACAAATTTCTTTCATACAATATGTCATTCCGTAGACCTTTGGAAACAATGAGACTTTATCTCCATTATCAAAAATTTATCCAAATTTTGGAGAAGTCAAGATTTTAGGGCCAAAAAATCATGGTCAAGAATTAGTAACAACACAGTTTCAAGATATGAAAATGTTTTCTCCTTATGAGGATCTTTTAAAAAATTCAATAACACCTTTAAATATGCGTGATAATAGTCCGAACAATGTATGTAAAAAAGAAGTGAAAATTCTTGGAAAGAAATTAGGAACGGGTATCATTGGTGGTACCGAAGATGATAAAGTTATTAAATTACTCGATGATAAACGAAAATTGGTTAGTACTTTTTTTTAGGCACGATCATTATACGAAAATGACTTAAAAAAATAAATATATATATATATATAAATATATATGTATAAATGTTATAATTTTTTGTTCAAAGGTATTGGATAAACAACAAGATGTTTGCAATCATTTGGACAATGGATTGATTTCTCCATCATCAGTAGATAAACCCATTACGGAAAATGTTGATCAAAACTGCTTCTCGCTTCAAGTAAACCGCTATCAGAGCATACAATGCCATCAGAATTATGAAAAAGAAAATGTTCCCCCTGAATGTATAGGTTTGCAGTCCGCACGAGACTAAATTCATGAAATCAAAGAATCCTCTCATTGGTAAGGGTAATTCACCGGACATCCACTTCAACCAAACGCGGGACACTTCCAACAGCAACAACAACGACAACAGCAGCAGCAGCAGTAACGATAGTTATACCAATTGCGCTCTGCCAGATTTGGATTCATGAAAAAGAGAAAAAAGTTAATCTATTTTTCTATTCCGTTGATAGTTCATTGATGTTTCGCATCTGCTTCCATTACAATTGCATTATCATAAAGAACACTTCGCTCTATCATTTTTAAATATAAAAATTGCAGTTGTTTCCAGCTGGACAGAACAGTTAATTATGAGCAAGAGAAACGATACTTCGTATAACGAACGAATAATTGCATACTTACATAAACTATAGAAGAACGACTCAATGAATATTAGATGTGGTTTCTAAATTGATTTCGCTTTGAAAAATAATCTTGTGTCGTTGCTGAGGATAAAACGAATTTATAATGTAATCTCTAATTATTAGGTAATACTCCTGTACATATTACAAAACTATATTTTTACAAGATATTAGTATATTCTTTTAACTTTAGTATAATATAATATTATGATTCCATCTTTTCGTAAAACGATGACGATAGTAATTGTTTTTACACTTTATATTAGTCTTTCTAAAAATAAAACATCTGTTTATAGATAGGACTTCAAAGTAATAGTCACATTTACGCATAAAAGTTTTCGATATAATTACGTGTCTCACAATTGTTATAAAATATGTTTTAATTGGTAGTAAAATTTTAAGTAAAATTAAGTAAAATTGAACTATATGATTATACACCGCCACATGGAGACACACAAATATACAAACATATATACAAGCATACGTACATACATGCATACACACATACATACATACACACATTGCATATATTTTAAAGTTTATATTTTTCACTTTTTAAATCTTTATCGATCTTTTATACATCGCATACTTAAATTAGATCAATAGTATCTTTATTCATTTTTTAAAGAATAATTTATTTCCTTTATCCTTTGTGGTGGTTGTGTTTAGTCAATATTTTTCGTATCATTCGATAAATAATATATAACTAAGTAATAATTCTCTCAGTAATGATTGGATTAAGTTAAATGGAAATAATTACATTTACTTTTAATCTCCAAAAAAAAAAAGAATAAATAAGCGCAGTCGTTACGATATAAATATCTGATTAGAGAATGCAATGATACGATAAGCCTGTGAAAAGATTTTCATATTCGAGATACGTATAAAATTATCTTTTATATTATACTTATGCGCGTGTAAAAAGTTACACTCTATAAAAGTTACATAAAATGCTCCGTTTGAATATTTTCTCGTTAAATTTTATTGTATGTAATTATCAAATAAAAAATTGAATAATGTTTCGCATTTAAATTTTGATATTACAAAATAAGTTGTATTAAATTTTTTTACGATAATATGTATATCAAAGTGAACATTAAAAAAAAAAAAGTAATTTTATAAAAATATGTATTATGTTCCTATTAATTAATTTGAAATTGATTTTATTCGTGTATTGCCGCGTTTCGTTTTAAAATCGACCTCAATTTTTTTAAGTAAACAGCCAATGACAAGAACACATTCTTTTTTATTAACCAATCATATCACTAGTATATTAAGCGTATCGTATTGTGACGTATAGGATATAATACTATATCGTCATACAACATTAGCATCACGTAATTTAATGCCACACCCATACCATAAAACACATTTCTAATTAATGAATATAGATAAGAGAAATACAAGATGTAAATAAAAGATAAACGAACTATATATATATTTGAAAGTGAATATAATCCTTTGTAATGTATTTATATAAGTTCTTTTCTATTGAAATTACTCACTAGACACTGATATTCTTTAAATAAGTAGGGAATGATACTTTATTACTCATCGCCGAATAAAACATCGTCGTATTGACGTGTTCAACGTCACAGTCTTCAGACTACCATTATACGAATATACGGTATAGGGGAAACATCGTAGCTTAAAGCAAGACTACTGGTAAAGTATATTACATTTTTCTTTTTTGTCATATAAATTATATAAATAATAAAATGATATATATGTGATGCGCCCGTGTGTAATTAGATTTAATAGATTAATATATCTCAAATAATTTTTTACAAAATATTTGATAAATGTCAAGGATGATTAATAAGTGGGCAGGGCACTACACTCATATAGATGTATTTCATGTCGACAGTTAATTTTCTTTGAAATCGATATATTCAATTAGTTTAACATTTGAACCCTTTAAATAATGAGATATGTTTTAACTTATGTGAAATGCAAAATTTTGTTTATATATAGAGAAATAATATAAAATTAGAACTTGTTAAAAATATATGTATTAATAAAATTAATTTGTTTATAGTGTTATTCATAACGGCCTTATAATGTCTCAACAATATTATCCATTCAAGGTAAATAATGAACAGCAGATTTTTTACTTCTTTTATTGTGAATTTTTTAATGACCTACTTTTTGCTTCCTATATACTTTTTTCTCTTTTCTTTCTTTTTCTTTTTTCTTTTTCTTTTTTTTAGTCTCATTTAAGAAATCTTTTATATTAATATCTTGTTTAAAGAATTTCGTTGGTTTCTTAATGATTTATCAAATAATTTGTTTTAGTGTACACCTACGGTATATCCTGCAGATCCATTTGATGCTAATGCAGATGCAGCTGTGCTTCGTAAAGCAATGAAAGGTTTTGGAACTGATGAGAAAGCCATTATTGATATATTAACCAGAAGAGGAATTGTCCAACGTTTAGAAATTGCAGAAGCTTATAAAACTTTATACGGAAAAGATCTAATAAGTGACCTTAAAAGTGAACTTACAGGGAAATTAGAAGATGTAATAATAGCCCTTATGACGCCTTTGCCACATTATTATGCTAAAGAATTGCATAATGCAGTAAGCGGATTAGGAACCGACGAAGAAGCAATTGTAGAAATTCTTTGTACTCTTAGTAATTATGGCATTCGCACAATTTCTGCATTTTATGAGAATCGTGAGTTTTTTTTTTATAAATTTATTATTTGTAATTGTATTAAAGAAAAATTTGACATTTGAATGTATATTTTCAGTATATAGTAAAAGTTTGGAAAGTGATCTGAAGGGAGATACTTCAGGTCATTTCAAAAGATTATTAGTATCTCTTGTTCAGGCTAACAGGGATGAGAATCAAGGAATAGATCATGATCAAGCAATTGCTGATGCTCAAGCATTATATGAAGCTGGTATGAAAAAAATCTCGTTTAATTTATCTGATATATTGTATTTTATTTACAAATTTAACTCTTTTTTTTTTTTTTTATCTTAGGTGAAAAGCAATGGGGTACAGATGAATCTCAATTTAATGCTATATTAATAACACGAAGTTATCAACAATTAAGACAAACCTTCCTTGAGTATGAAAAGGTTGCCGGACATGATATAGAAGTTGCTATTAAAAAAGAATTTTCTGGAAATATTGAAAAAGGACTCTTAGGAATAGGTTAGTATAATAATTTATTTTTTGAATGAATGTATGATTTTTTATTTTACTTTTTTTTTTTTTTTTTTTTTTTTTTTTTTTTATAGTGAAGTGTGTGAAATCAAAGGTGGGCTTCTTTGCTGAACGCTTATATGATAGCATGCATGGAATTGGAACAAAAGACAAAACTTTGATTCGTATTATTGTATCAAGAAGTGAAATAGATTTAGGTGATATTAAGAAGGCATTTGAAGAACGTTATGGAAAAAGTTTGGAAAGTTGGATTGCTGTATGTATCACTTCTTTCTCTTTAAATTCATTGAATATTTTTAATGTTTATGTTTCATTATATTTACAAGATTTAATATGTTTTAGGATGATACTTCCGGTGACTACAAAAAAGCTCTTTTGTCATTAGTTTCTACTTAATACTGATCATAATATTCAATGTATAAACAGTATAAATGAACTTTTACAGTGTACAGTAATATTAGTATGACATTATCTGGTGTTCAAACTATAAACTTTTTTTAGAATCTCAACTTTTCTTTTGTAAAAATGTAATTGTCATTATGAGAGCTCCATGTTTTGGTCATAGTAAAAGTTCGATGTACCTTACATATGTCTAAAAGTTTAATTATGGATAAATTAATATTTTTTACACATTTTATATATTTTTAGTATATACACTTACATATATTGTGCCTACATATATTGTCTAATAGAGAGATTTATTTTTGAGTAAATATTGAAATTGTTAACACATAAATAGAATAATTGTTATAATTAATGTACACATTTAAATATCTCGCATTTATTAAAAATACTACTAAAACACATATTTCTATATCCATAAATGTACATGTCCTTTTTCTCTTTATGTTATTGTACTATTTAGTCTTCTTAAAAATATAAAATTTTCTAAAAAAATAATTATTTACAAAAATAAGTCATGAAACGACATTAAATTAATTTGACTAGTTTTTGTTTATTTTGGCTTATTTTTAGTTTTCTGTTTAAACTTTCGTTTATTATTCTCTTTTTGAGGATAAAACATAAGTGGCATTCTTTTAAAATGTTTATGCATTGGTGTTACCAATAATTTGTCTAATGCAGGCCATGGTGTATTAGGTATTGTATTATATTGAATATACCCATAAATTGTATGTAAGTCTAAAATGTTTTTCCTAAAAAACATTATAAAAATTAATAATTTCAAAATCCAGGATTGATATAATAAAATACAATGCATACCCTCTAGCGTCTGTTTCTTTGTAAACAGTTGCAAAAGCTCCATTTCGACTAATATGTCTGATGATATAACAACCAGGAGTAACATTTGATAAAGTTTGAATAACATTATGTAATAATGTTAATGTATCTTCTACTTTAATATTATAAAGCCGCTTGATTTCATTATTAATTGATATAGTAGTACGTTTTTCTATTTGTATTACTTCTGAGGTTTGTGCTGATATTCTTACTGTTAAAATATGATATGTATTTACTAATGTAAATTTTTCTTATCATATAATTATATAATTATACATAATTGTCCATGTTATATACCTCTTGCAAGATATGTGTCGGGACGAAACATTAAAGATATCCATTGTTTTAATCCTTCTTCTAATGTTAAAGCTTCTCCTCCAAATCCAACTTGATGTTCTAATTTTGGTATTAAAAGCAATTTTTGCCTGAGTGTTGGTGTTAATTCCTGTAAATTTTGTTAAGAGTTCTGCATAGTTTTTTGTAATTAAAAATATTAACAATAATTATTTTTTACCAACCTCATATCCATCTTCTTTTATGCGCACTAGCATTTTATACTCTTTAATTGTATTTTTCATTAATTCATTTTTCTCTGTAGAAGATGGTCCAATTCTAAAAAGATTATATGATACATTACTTGTATAGCATGATTCTGCATCATTATTTCCTTCACAATCTTCCTTTTCAGATTGTTCTTGTGAATCAGCTGAAAAAAGTTTTTTATTCATATTTCCTTTTTACAAGTTTAGATAATTTAGTTTTAAAACTTACACATTGGTTGTTCTAAATCATATGTATTTACGTTATGACTTTCATTTTCCCTTGATTTATCTTCTTCAACTATATTTTCACATTTAAAATTTGTTTTAACTTTTGTGTTGTTTGAAATATTTAATTTGCTTTCATAGTCATCTTCCAATATCATATAATTTTCAGAATTAATATTTCCGAATAAATCATCATCATACACTTTCACATTACATGATCTAATATATATTAAAAATATATTATTTTATATATATATATATATATATATATATATATATATATATATATATATATACATACATACAATAAATGATGCAGATAGATGCAAAAGTTATTATAAAGACGGCTATTATATAATATTGTCTTACCTTTCCGATTTTATAAGTTTCGACTGAAACGAAGATTTTAAAATATATTTGAAAACCCAAGTATTTTTTTCTGGTACGGTAGCAAAATTAGATGGTGGTGGCTTATCAATATATATAATATTTTTTCCATTAAAAGATTTGATTGTTATAGGTAATGCCCATGTTTTTGAATAATTTGGACCAGCATTACTTGCTAAACAGTTTAAACCACTGGATGAAATAACTAAATCTACATCATTGGCCTGAGCAAAAAATTCACAAGTTGGATCCTTGCTTACAGGTAATTTGAAATGAATTATTGATGTATTATTGCTTTCATTAGGTATTGGAAATTCTTCTTGTAATCTTTTAGAATTACATTGTAATATAAAAGGTCTAGTCAAAGATGGTAAAATTATTTTTGGTAGACTTCCCTAAAATTATATAATTTTTATATAACATTTTTTTTATAATATTTTATTAGTTCATATCAAAGAAGTATAATTATTTGTACTTCTGAATTATAATTCCTTACCTTTTTTAAGCAATTATGTATAAATTGTACTGTGATTTCTTTATCCGAAACAAAAGGAATGTTTGTAGTTTCCATATAATATCTTGGTAATTTAAGAATATCAAGTAATTTATGTTTCCACCGTAAATTTATATAATCCTCACAATAAATTGTTTGCAATTTCGTTCCATCCCATTTTCCTTTAACAAATTCTATATATTGTTCTTGTTCTTCATTTATAATTTCTTTAAAATTCTAAAATTTCATCACATTTTAGAAATCAGTTATATATTGCAAAACGTATTAACATTACATTAGTGTAATATTTTTTATTTCACTTACAAAATAAACTGCTAAATCTTTCTTATCATTAACAGTTAAATTTGGTTTTTCAGAAGCAGAAAATGTTAATAATGTCCGTAAACATGCTTGTTGCTCTTCTATATTTAACTCAGACGTCTTTGGAAATTTACATGGTCGTCTCACTAAACCCGGTACATATACTTTCTTCTCTTTTAATTCTTGCTGTAAAATATCATTTACCGTCGCATTGTTTTTATTTTTTTCCTGACTATTTTGATCTTCTGAAATCACATCCATTTTAACTGCTTCATAATCTTCATCCATATTATCGAAAGGATTTACAAAGTTTCCATGTAATAGTCTATACATTACACTTTCTCGTGTTAACCTTTCTTCATTAATAAATACATCATCTAAAATATCATTTAATGAAGGATTCCTAAAATATATATTAATTGTAAATAAATAAAAAAAATAGATAAAGATAAAAATAAATATACAATTAAAAACGATATATATATATATATATATCATATATAAAAGTAATAAATGGTATTAAATATAATTAAATTGTATATTATAAAGAATATAATTGTCTTTTTTAAAAATATTCTCAGTATATATTTACCAATCAATATTTAAAAACGTTTCCATTTTTGCACAATTATTTAAATACTTTCACTATAATGGAAACTCATGTTTTCATAACCTTTTTCTAGATCATGCGCATTTGTTGATCATCAGTAGATATGTATCCGAGGGTAAAAAAAATTTACAGTTCATTTATCAGTAAACATTAATATGAATCTTTCTGTGTCGGTAATTAACTTTCATGTGTAGTATCCTAGAAGGTTAAATATCAACTATCGTCAATTGTAAAACATTCTAAAAATAAAGGATATATAAATTTATTTATATGATTATATAAAAGTGATAATTGTAGGATTATTTTTGTGTAATATCGGTGTATATAATATCATCATGACCAATTTAATTGATGCACATTGGTTTCCATTGGCTTCGCAAAGCAATATTTATTCAATGACACAGTTATGTTCACTTAGTGGGGTTAATAAAGTTTTGGTGGCATCTTTGAAAAGAAAGATATACTCGTGCGAATATCATATTACGCCAAAATGGAATTTGAGGCCAGTAGTCAAGGAATTACTCTTCACGTACATTCCTAGTTTGTGATTTTATGTATAATGTCAAATAAAATTTATTGAAAATGCTGTACTTATATAAAAATCTTTAATCATTTTTGTTAGATGGGGCTGAAATTATTGCAATTGATGCTTATAACAAAATGGATGTGGGCGATGGATTTGTTATAGGAATAACAATTATTAAAACGAGCACAAATACATCAGTTGAAAGATACCTGAATATATATTCTGAAGGTGTTGTGGATGGAGAAGGAGATGAAAATAGTACAATTGAAACTATAGCACAAAATTGTCTTATGGTAGAATTATCATATACTCCATATCATTTATATCATACAATATTACCACATCAAGCTTCTGGCAATGAGGTTTTTATATATTATTAAAAAATCTTTTTAAAAATATAAAATCTGTTCTTTTAATTTTATATTTGTCTTACAGGTGATTTGGTTAATTTCTGGAAGTGATTATAAGATTCATATGATTATGGAAGATAAATTAACTCATGGGTATATTGAACCATCTATTGAAAAATATTTTCCAGAACTACATAATATTCAAGCTATTTGTTTATGGATAAGTGTTTATTATTTTGATAATTATAAATGGTAATTTGTATAATAATTATTATAAATTTTTTATAGACAAGATTTTGGAATTATATGTCCTCTCAATATTTTTTTTTTAGGCGACTCAGTGCAATTGGATGTGAATGTGGTTTAGTCAAAGTAGCTTTAGTGGATGTCTTAGAAATACAGATGGTTAGAAATTGGTCATTGAGATATGATAAACCAATTTCAAGTATACATATATTTCCTCATAGAAATAATATTCCTCCACCATCATCATTAAATTATGAATGTAAATGTAGGTTAATTTTATAATTAAATAAAAATTGAACTATAATATGTTTGTATAAACTTTTCAGTAGTAATAATAAGTTTATCATTAGAATTAAATAATTAAAATTTTTTTTTTTTTAATAGCTAAAGAATCTTTCTCAGATGAGGATCCAATATTGAACATCTTGATTGGTAATACAAGCAATGCTATTGTCTTTATGTAAGCAAACTTATTTTTATATTAATTTTAATGTCAATCTTCTTAATAATGTAATACATTTTGATAGGGATATTTTGCATTGTGGAATGGAAAAAGATATGATATTAAATGGTAGTGATTTATCAGATTGTATATTATGTACATGTGTTGCGGATATAAACATGGATGGTCAAAATGAAATACTGTTAGGCACATATGGACAGGAAGTTTTAATTTTTGCATTATCAGGTGATACATGGGAATTATCTGTACGAAAATTATTTGATGCTCCGGTACATTCTATATCTTATATGGATATAACCAATGATGGTATGAAAGAACTTATTGTTCTTACGCAACGAGGAGTGCATATATTGCAGGTTACAATATTTTCAACATTAAATATTGCAATTGTAAAGTGTGTATTAATAATTTATATTTAATTTTTCATTTTTTAGCATAACACAGTAGTTGTTAAAGATAAATGGAAGGAAATGTTTAGAAATTTGTTAATTAAAAGTGGTAGGTGAAAGTAGTAAAATATCAATTCACACAATATTTTTTGTTCTTGAATTAATTATAATACACCAAAGAAAGAAAGAAAAAAAACTAGTGCTAACGTAACTTTTTTTTTTTTTTAATTAATTTGTATTTTTATACATATCAAATTTGGAAAAAAAAATTAATACAATAAATAATAATTTTATGCGAAATAATTCTTACTTTCAGTTGTAACACATTATATATATTATCCTGTAGTATTTATTCATACTGTTCATATAATATAATAATTTAAAAAAATATTATAAAACTATATAGAGATGAAGATATCTTTTTCAAAAATCTGCAGTAAATAAAAATAAGATAAAACGATATGTAAAGATAATTTAAAGGTTACAATTTTCGCGCCGTCTGATCGGTGAAGGTGCGCCAGGTGTATTAATGATCATGTGACCATATCGCAACGTCATTGGACGGTATGACGATCGACGGTCGATGTTCGAGGAGGGAGCATCGATCAGTACTTGTACGCGATTGGTTCAGCCGAGGGAGGTATGAATGGTGGGGGGAGGATAGCGAGGTCGCCATCTTAAAGCAATTCGCGATAGCCTCTCGTCGCCGGTGCGAAGCCGAGCTGTTGTCGTCGTGGTTGTCGTTTTCGTCGTTCTCGTCGTCGCGTTCAGAGCTGAGCCGTATTAGCCTGGCGAGCGTGTTAAACGCGAGCGCGAGCTCGTACGGCTCCGGTAGGTGATATACGCGAGAAAAAGAGTAGAAAGAGGGAATTTGGGCGAGGAGAGACAAAAGTATATCTGTCGAAAGGACAGTTAATCAACGTTTAACGTCTCGTGCGGAAGACACTTAGGTGGTGCCAATTCGGCTTTTCATTTTCTTTTCCTACCCTGTGTCTTCTACTATCTTGCTCGTGTAATCGTGTTATCTCTCTCTCTCTCTCTCTCTCTCTCTCTCTCTCTCTCTCTCTCTCTCTCTCTCTCTCTCTCTCTCTCTCTCTCTCTCTCTCTGTTTGATTCTCACTTCCTCTTTCTCCCTCTTTCACTTTTCGCTTTCTTCCGAATCCACGTCCGCGAAGAGATATATACGCATACGAGTATATTCACTTAGAAAGACACACACTGTCTCTCTCTCTCTCTCTCTCTCTCTCTCTCTCTCTCTCTCTCTCTCTCTCTCTCTCTCTCTCTCTCTCTACACACACACACACACACACATACATACACACAGAATCGGACACCTCGGTAGTGGCCGTGCGCCGAGTGGTACATGCTGTTTGAGAGAGTGACCACAGAAGGAAACGACGAATACTTGCTGACAAATACGTTCGGTTTTGAAGAGTCGTCGACGTAGGGGAAGGAAAGTGACAGGAAGAAGGACGGCAGTATGGCGGGACAAACGATAAACGACAGGCTACTAGCTGCCAGACACAGCATCGCTGGGCAAGGGCTCGCTAAGTCCGTATGCAAAGCGACCACCGAGGAAATGATAGGACCCAAAAAGAAACATCTCGATTGTAAGTCCCTTTTAAGCTCTATTTTTTTCTCAACGTCTTTTCTATTTCTTTTATAAAGTATTTTATGTCTCCCCTCACCTTTTTTTTTATTCTTCCTGGGTTACATCGACTTTCGACTCGACCGACTAGACTCAACTTTATCGATTCGGCTCGATCTGAATGTCCTTTTTATGACCCTTCGGTTTCAGTACTAAAGACGAGCAATCATTTAGCACCCTTTGTCTTTCGACTTTCGCGAAGAGAGTATGTAGAAGGCGAGAATGCAGTGAGACCAGTTACGCTCAAGAAGATAGAGAGAGAGAGAGAGAGAGAGAGAGAGAGAGAGAGAGAGAGAGAGAGAGAGAGAAAGAGTGAAAAAGTAAGAGAGAGGGGAGAGACAGAGTGAGCGAGTAAGAGAGAGGGAGAGAGAGGGCGAATGCTCGCGCTCACGTCGATGCGCCGCACGTCGTAGTGAGGTCATTCGATTTTGAGTATGTGCGACATGACAAAATTTTGTTCATGTTTCACCATTTCAAAAAAGATTAAATACGAGAAAGAATTTATGATGACAGGGATCCCAGTTTTTCTACGTTCTTATGACGATACTCATAATAGTACTATCAGCCTGTTATATGATTTATTGATTTTACTCGAGGAACATTGATTTTTTTCCATGCTTGACTTCACCCAAGTACCATACGTTTTAAGATACGCGATATTTATCTTTAATGCGCCGACTACTGAACGATTTTGGACAAGATAATTGAGAAATCCTTTAGTTCTAATGCAAACAAAATATTAGAAAATGTTGACTCACTTTTTATGCGAACAAAATATTTCGGCCTTATTAAAGTTGTTTTATAAGAATATTAATTAAAAGTATTGTCTTTGATATTATGGCTCAAATTTAAAAGAATGTAAGATGCCTTGCATCTATCAAAGATATATTGGCTTTAGCTTTTTCTTAGAAATTGTTCGAGGCTAACAAGAATGAATCATCGTTCCTGGTATGATACATAGATGTACGGTAATATATTATATTATATTATATTATATATTATATTGTATCAAATTAGTTTTATCTAATGTTTCTAAATAATGTAATAACAATTTTTCACAATGACTACTTTCATCGGTAAACTTTTCTCCATAAAGTTTTAATAAATTTATCATTATGGAATATGCAACAATAGGAGCATAATTTTGAAGGACATTGCAAACATTATAAATTAGCAAGACAATAATTTTATATCAAGATTTGCTATTTTGCGTGCCAATCCAATATTACATTTATGTTGGATGATTATGTTTGTTTACGAGTTATATATCATCCACATTTATTAATACAGCTATACGTATGATACAGCTATACATATACCGTAGTGCTGTTTGTGATGAGGAATTATAAGTTTATTATAGGAAGACAACAAATTTATTGGTAAGATCACAGTATAACCAAAGGTCATTCGAGTAGGAACAAGGTTATTTTCTTTATATAGCTTAACATTGAAATATTTCATAGTTATAATTTTATGAAGTAAAAGAAAAGAAAGAAAAGAATGTATATTTACAAAAAAAAAAAAAAAAAAAAAAAAAAAGAAAAAAAAAAGAATATCATGGGAAGTTCATTAAATTATTTTATATTTTTGATTTAAGTGATATTATTAAATGAAATGGGTAATGAAATGTCAAGAAGTAAACTTGAGAAGTAGACTTATTCATTTAAGCTCATAAATATAAAGTACCTTTAGAGAGAGAGAGAAAGAGAGAGAGAGAGAGAGAGAGAAGAGAGAGAGAGAGAGAGAGAGCGAGTGTGTCAGTCTCTTATATGGTTTACACGTTCTCTCGTGCGTATCCTTTCGCTATTCTCGTACAAATTAGAATTAATTTTCTGGAAAATCAAGAAAAACGATCCTTTCATAAAGCTTATAAATTTAGAATATATTCGCATATGTTGAATATTGAAGAACAAATGATTCGTAGAAACGAGAATTATTTTATCACGGGATACGCCCTTATTCGATTAAATTTTCATAAAATATAGGTTATCTTCGTTCAAGTTCTAATAGTAAGAGTCATACTTCATTGAAAGTATTTAATTGTTTTGAGTCTCTCGATTTTAATTTTACTTTATTTTCTTACAATGTATTGTGTTATAAATATCTTTAAAAAAAAAAAAGAAGAAAAGATATATAAATATGTAGAAAAGATTGTATTATTCTCATGTTGAATCAATCAGTCGTGTCATGTACGATGAAAAAAAATTCTATATAGATAATTCTCGAATCGTTAAAATTCGACAGAGACGATCGTGTCCAATCGTTCGTTCTACGAAGAATACAGAAAGAGAAAAGAAAATATTAAAGAGACTTTAGAATCGTTTGATTTATCAATATAACTATCTACATGTAGTTTCGAACAAACCAAAAGCTATTATTATTATTAGTACATATTATTAGCATCTCATTACGATTAGAACCTTAACTTTTTCCTGGGATTCCTGGGTGTCAATTTGTGAGAATAAATCTGCTTATTTTCAATGATAGTTCGTAACACGCCTGTTATAACGCTTCGATAACTTGAAAGTTTCGATAATGTTGCAAAAATGCATATTGTTCCCCCGGTCGGCAGATAAGTGATATAACTTCATCGAGAGCGAAAGTAAGTAAATACAAAAAGAGAAATATAATGGATACGCGTGTGCATGTATATATAGACCTTTGGTGAGCTTGCATGAAAACGATGCTCATTATCATAAAAGCGACGGCGCGTGTCCGTACTGACCGTTACCGGTCTCCCAACTGTGTGTGTACGTATGTATATCTCCAGACTTGGACGGGGGCGTAAATGATAAAATTCTTCGAAGGCGCGATAACGCCAATCAAAAATTGAAACACGAGAAAAAAAAAGTATGACTTTTCACAGATCTTACCCTTTTTGCAATGAGTTAACGTCGATAATAAATCAGTGAGGGGAAACTTTCTCTTTCATCTCTCTTTCTCTTTCTCTTTCTCTCTCTCTCTCTCTCTCTCTCTCTCTCTCTCTCACTCTCTCTCTCACTCTCTCTTTCTCTTACATTTTGTTTTCTTTTAATATTTTTTTCTTTTTTTTTTTACATGTACGTTAATTTATAATAATATAACATATATTTTTTCCCCGTTTATCGGTAATTATATGGATCAGCGTGAAGGTCGGTAAAACGAATTGTTGTTGTCTTCATAATTTGCGCCATGTTTTTACGTATTTTAAATTCACTCTTCGACGAAGTGGCGCTAAATTCAAATTTCGATTCGCGTAGTATCGAATTCCAATTTCAACGGTGCTACATACATACATATATACATACATATATATATACATACATACATACATACATACATACATACATACATACATACATACATACATACATACATACATACATACATACATACATACATACATACATACATACATACATACATACATACATACATACATACATATATTTTTTTTTTCTTATCGTATAATTTCTTTTATTTCATGCCATATCGAACCAATCGCTTTATACGGGCTGTTTCTATATAGTCATAATGATCTTATAAGGTGGCATTAGGAACGAGGGTAAACGTATTATCGTAATTGAAATAAAAGATGGAAAAAAGAAGGAAAGAAAGAAAGAGAGAAAAAAGAAGAACGAAGAAAAGAAATAAAGATAGATATAGATAACGTGAATAAAGATAGATATAGATAATATGAATGCAAGTGAGCGTGAAAAAAGTATGCACGAGTATATATTATATTATGCGTATACGTTAAAGGATGTGCGAGAAGTATAGAGAAATACACATCGTTTCTTTTTTCTTCTCCCCCCTCTCGCCCCCATTTACAAATACGTAAATCATATTTGTTGTTGGTCCTCCTTTTTTCCTCGCTCTTCTTCCTCTTCGATAAGAACTGAACGACCACGATCTCACGGCACGCTTCGCACGATTACGAGTAATGAGTATACAGTCTTTCTTTCGTGTGTTGTTAAAGCCGAGTAGGTGAATGACATCGGCACGTTTTCTTATTTGACCTATACCCTTTCGCTGATCTTGCGTTAAAGGCCAAAAAGCAAACTATACTGGACTCCTTGAAAGAGAGAGAGAGAGAGAGAGAGAAAGAGAGAAAGAAACATCTGTTTTGATCGAGCCGCCATTCTTTCACTGTTTCGTCCCTTTATTCATTCTTTTTTTTTTCTACAAGGAGATAAACATTCGTTATTAGCGTTCCTTCTTAAAAATAAAAATTAAATTTACGAGAAGAATCCTCGAGGAGAATGACCTATCGAATTGCTTCAAGTTTTGATTTCTTGTCTATGCTCCAAATTTTCTTTTACTTGAGATATTTATTTATTTATTTATTTTTCGTATGAAAATAATATTAGATATATTATATATTATATATATATCTCTCTCTTTCTTTAAAGATTGTGTTATTAATGTATGAATTTTCTTTTCTTTTTTCTTTTTTCTTTCCTTCCTTTTTTTCTCTCTCCTTATATTTATAGAACCTATTATAAATGCATAATAATTGATAATTGTTTTATGTAAAAAAGAAAGAAAAAAAAAAAAAGAAAGGCTTAACGTATAAATATGTTAGTTCTTTTTGTTTTGTTTTTGATCGGTATTTTAGCTGGATCATTGAGTAAACGAGCGTTTTTATCGTATGAATCGAGAAGTTTCGAAAGAAAGATCGCGTGAGCCGATAAGCAAGACATGTATGTATATATTTTCTAAGTAAGAGTCAACCACACCACGTCATCTACGATTCTCATTCTCATTGAGTTGAATGAGATACGAGGATGATAAAGAAATTTTATATATTTATAAATTTGACATTATTTCGAAAGCTTAATTATGTATTTCGATTTAATTCATTGATTAATTTGTTACGTCACGTGGAAGACAAATTATTAATGAAATGAAATAAAAATAAAAATTAAAAAAAAGAAAAAAAAAGGAAAAAAGAAAACAACAGAGAAAAAACTGAAAAAAAGAAAGATGAAAAAGAGAAAAAAGAAAAAACTCACTTTTTATACCGATAATAGTGATCATATTTGCATTTGAGAAACTTAATGACGTTTTACGATCGAGTTTGGTTGCTTCAAGGAATAAATTATTCAAGAGAAACGTATTTTAATTTTTTGCATATAATTTCATCAAATTAATTCCAAGGAAAGATCGTTTAAAGAAAAAAGACTTCGATATAGAATTTATGATATTACTACTTAGGTCACTCTCTCTCTTTGCGTCTCTGGATGAGAATTAATCGTTTATATTGAGAACGTTCTTTCTTATTCACTTTGAAAACGTTCTTTCTTTTACATTCGGCGATATATATATTTTAATATTCATTTTTTTTTCTTCTTCTCTTCAATCGAATCGAATCGAATCGTATCGTATCGAATCGAATTGAATTGAATTGAATTGAATTGAATCGAATCGAATCAAATCGTAGCAAAGTATATAAGTAATCGGTAAAATTTGAATTTCATTACTTATACTTGCCTAACGGATGATTACGTACGTGTCACACGTGTCTTTGATATTTGCTTTGAAAGTGGAGATCATAGAAAGCGTATATCTAATGTATACTTCTGTGTTCAGAGTTATATCGACTTGTAAAAGAAAAAAATAGTGTCTTTTTTTTTCTTTTTTTTTTTTTTTTTTTTTTGGATAATTGGAAAGAAAATTATATAGAAGAATGAAAGTTGAAGGAACTCAGTAATAATCGTACGTATAATATAAATCGACGTGTGATTACTTTAATATAGAGTGAAGATATTAATAAATTTGGTTTCTTTTTTTTTTTTTTTTTTTTTACCTATCAAAGGACGCCGTATTATTTAGTTTATTTTTGTTACGACTATAAAATTCCTTTACTTTTTTTTTCTTTTTTTTTTCTTTTTTTTTTTTTTTTCATTAATCCTAGAATCGAACAATTTAAATTGTGGAAGTAAAATCGTTATCATGTTACTTATACGAGACAAGCTAAATGAAAATTAATCGACGTTTTCTGTTCTATCTGTCTCTCTCTGTCTATTTGTCTGTCTCTCTCTCTCTCTATCTCTCTCTTTTTATTAACAAAAATGGTGAGGAATCAACGTTTTCTCCTTTAGGTAGTTGCGTCTCGAAGGTAAACAAGAATCAGGAAAGTAAATCGGTCCTTCTCTTCCTCTCTCTCTCTCTCTCTCTCTCTCTCTCTCTCTCTCTCTCTCTCTCTCTCTCTCTCTCTCTCTCCATCCCTCTCCCCCTCACTCTTTCCCCCTCCCTTTTTTCTCTTTAATTCGAAAGGAACGAGAGTTGACACATTTAACACATGCGTTCTCTCTAAGAGAGAAATGCGTCCGATGGAAGAGCGTAGCAGCGCTTATGTGCGTTGAAGCGTTGGAGCGATGCCAGTAGTAAAACCAAATTAGCCGCCGTCCATACATGCGCGGGGGTGTATAATTAGAACAGGAAAGCTGTCAAGGTCAAGTACACGTTACTTTAGAAAGACGACGGTCACTCAATCTTTAAAGACAGACACCCGCGTGTGCATCACATCGCATTACTTAGTACATACGGTCATAGGACGCATGTTTTGTTTTTCTTTCCTTTCTTTCTTTCTTTCTTTCTTTCTTTCTTTCTTTCTTTCTTTCTTTTCTTTCTTTTCTTTCTTTTCTTTCTTTTCTTTTTTTTTTCTTTTTTAAGATTATTAAGTCCACATTTCTGTGTTAAAAGAGATGAAAGAGAAAAAGAGAGAGAGAGAGAGTGTGTGTGTATATGACAGAGAAAGAAAGGAAGTATTTGTTCTGTTCGTTCGTTCGTAAAATTTAATGGTAATTAGATTTTTATGTGTCAATGATATTTACCTTTTTTTTTTTCTTTTCTTTTTTTATGTCTATCACAATGGAAATAGTGATTATTGAAGAAAGAGAAAGAGCAAGAGAGAATTTCTTTTTTCGTTCGTAAAATCGATCGACAAAATCAAATTGTCGTTCGTAAAGTTGATCGACAATTTAATTCTCATGTATCGATAATAATAGCTCTTCTTTATTTTTTTTTTTTCTATGTATATAATAACGTTAAAGATAATTATTGTTAAGTCGATTTGCTTTTAGTGTCACACTTACGCGAAAATGAGCCTTACATAACGTATGTATGTATGTATGTATGTATGTATATATATATATATATATATATATATATATATATGTATATATATATATGTATATATGTATGTATGTATTCGCTGAATCAGTCATTTGCAATGGCATAAATCTGTAGGACTTATTATTCTCGAATAAACGAAAGTATTAATGTAATTGTTTTTTTTTTTTATATGAACTTTTACGTGATAGCTCTATGTTTGTCTTAATATTGATAAGAATATTACATTACGTCTCAAATGTTGGTTATGTATATGCTAGCATTTCACATTGAAATGAGAAAATAAGAAGCGTTTACCTTAATAACGTAATTCTTTATGTTTTTATGAATCATTCATTCAAGATTTTCTTTGCCTCTTTTCCAAAGCTTTAACGATTTTATCTATATATACGTGTACATGCGCGCGCGTGTATATATATATATATATGTATATGTATGTATACGTACATACATATATATTACACGTATGTATATGTACAACCCAAGAAGCAGCTTGGCTTCGTCGTTACGATCAATACTTAAAGACCATACCTATCATTGTCCTACTCTACTTCTTTCGGTTGTTAAAAATACCAAATTTGATACACTCATGTAAGTATATATATATATATATATATATATATATATATATATATATATATAATACAGTACATAATCGATCTTTGATCTCTATAAAGTTGAACAATCTGCCCATTTGTACTACGTACATCGTATATTTTACGTATACTTATACATACATATACTTATACTTACATATACTTATATGATAAATCACGATAATTATAAGATACTATTTTATCAAATAATCTTTGTAAAAAGTTACGTAGTTGACAAAGCAAACAAATGCTTTGTAGATCGATCGACATTTTCATCAGTTTGAAAGGTAATCTCTTAAAATGAGATGAGAGAGAGAGAAAGAGAGAGAGGGGGGGAGAGAGAGAAAGGGAGGAGGGTTGGATGGGCGACGGATGAGACGGGCTAGGAGAAGAGGGGAGATAGTATTCTTTCTTTCTCTTCGTTCTCTTGAGCATTTAACGAGCTCTATCTTTAGGACAACTAGGGATGTGGATCATTGATCGTTATCTGTGCATCAGGGAGACATTGCACTGGTTCCGGTCCTTGACCTCCCTGATTCGGGATCGTACTTGATGAGATTACTTCTGCCAATCGACAAGATTGACGTATAGATTTTCAGCCTTTCGAACCTAAACGATCATTCTGGATTGATCGGACAAAATTGATATTGACGTCGTCTGATCTGACATTTTACATTACGTAAACTTAAGCGATAGTTTTCCTTTGACAATTTTGATTTATCTTTTTATATAAATTCCTTGAAATATCGAAAATATATTTATCAATTCGAAAGAATATGTTTCTTCATTAAAATATTTTTTTATTATATTACAGATCTCATTCATTGTACGAACGAGCCAAATGTTTCGATACCACAACTCGCTAATCTTTTGATAGAACGATCCCAAAATACAAATTGGACGGTCGTTTTTAAAGCTCTTATAACGGTGCATCATATGCTTTGTTATGGCAACGAGGTAAATATACTTATTTCAAATATTTAATGTTTATTCGTTTACATTACGTTGAAATTAATGAACTCCTTTGTTTTCCAGAGGTTTACACAATACTTGGCGTCGAGCAACAGCACGTTTCAGCTCAGCAATTTCCTCGATAAAAGCGGAGTACAAGGTGAGCGAAGAAAAGGGTTCCGAGGATGAATGATGGTCGACCATAATTTTTAACATTTTATTTCTATCGATTCGATTTTTCTTTGTCTTTTCCTTTTCTTTACTTTTTCTTTTCTTTTCTTTTCTTTTTTATTATCGTACCGTACTCTCCGATACTAATAGACATAATAAAAAAATCAAAAGTTGTTTTGCAATGCCGGCAAAAATAATTGTTGATAATAAATTCGTAAAATAAATTCTGGCGCAATCATCGTATTGTTTATTATTTGTCGATAATGATTGCCGAAGAATATACTAAATAAATTTCTTAAAATTTTTGATTAATTAATTCCTTTCGTAAAGGACGTGTCAACAAGATTATTGTTATATGTATATCTTGAATAATAATTATTCATTTACTGCGTATATTATTGCAAATTCTTGTGAGGTAAAAGTAATTATTTGTATTTATCAGTTTGTTTTTTCGTTCGTACGTTCGTACGTTCATTCACTTGCCAGGAAAAAGTATTTATTTATTATTATACATATCTATATATGTATCTGAGTATGCATGAGGTACAATGATAAAATGGTATTTATTGCTTTAATAAGTTTACATTGCAAATTCTTATCTTCCTAATTGAAAATTGTAAAAAAAAAAAGAAAAAAAAGAAAAAAAAAGGGATTCCTTTTAAATTTTCTTTATGCCCGATATACCGACTCGCACTACGCATAAAAACACGTATATGCAGAAAAATGCATGGGAAAACATGGCTATTTATATACGTTCGTATCTACTGCTTTCTGTCCCTGTATTGTTTAATAACACTTTCAAACTAACTTCCTAGCTTCCTAGCATTGAAAACAACTACAGATCTATATGGGCAAAATCAATCTTTCTGTTTTCCATGTATCTGGCATCTTTCTTCTCTTCTATGATTTACTAACTTGGATTAATTTTATCTCTGTTTGAGCACAGCAGGAGCACGCGTCGGTAAGTCGATTTCCTTTATACTTACAATGTCTTTTTTTTCGTTTATATAATTTATCAATATTATAAATAACACTCATTAGATATATACAGGCTGGGCCAAAAGTTTCTAAGTTAAAAAGAAATTTTTTTAAATGATTTACTATTTTTCGAAACTTCTCTTGGTATAATTTTTCTTTTTTTTCTAGATCGTAAAAATAGAAATTTTTAAAAATTTCGGAAAAGAGTAATTAATTTTTAAAGTCATTTAACAATTTTTAGTTCATCCTGTATTATGCCATTCAGCGTATGATCTATATTATAAATGTTTTGAATGTCATGCATTTTTATTTCTATTGATTCTTTATTCTTAATAGTTTCATTGTCAAGATCAAAACTGTTCTTACAATATTTTCTAATCAATTGTTCTAATCAATGAGTCTAATCAATATCAATGGTAATTTTATTAATGAAAATATTATGTGAATTAATATATTCTTTTTATTTTTATTGTTCGTTAGGTTACGACATGTCACCGTTTATCAGACGATATGCCAAATACTTGAACGAGAAGGCTCTTTCATACAGGACGGTGGCATTTGATTTCTGCAAAGTGAAAAGAGGGTAAGATAAAACTATTATTTGGTATATTATAAATCGATGTATTTAAATGTAATACAAAGTTAATGTTATTTTTGTTTTTGTTTTTTTTTTTTTTTTTTTTTTTTTTCTTTTTAGAAAAGAAGATGGCACGTTGCGTACTATGAATGCAGAAAAATTATTAAAAACTTTGCCTGTCCTACAATCACAATTAGACGCACTTCTCGAATTTGATTGTACAGCAAACGATCTTACAAATGGTGTTATAAACATGGCATTTATGCTTCTATTCCGAGACCTCATACGTTTGTTTGCCTGTTATAATGATGGAATTATTAACCTCTTAGGTAATATATATATATATATAAAAGAAAAGAAAAAAGAAAAAAGAAAAAATTGATGATTATTAAAGTAATATATAATTTTTATATATTATCTTCTTTTATTATTTACAGAGAAGTATTTTGACATGAATAAGAAACAATGTCGAGATGCTTTGGAATTGTATAAAAAGTTTCTCATAAGAATGGATAGGGTTGGTGACTTCTTAAAAGTAGCAGAGGTAATTTATTTTTATAATTCTTTTCAATGAATTTTACATTTGTAATATTACATGTGGATTTAATTAATGGAACTTTTTTTTTTTTTTTTTTTTTTTTTTTAATAGGATGTTGGTATCGATAAAGGCGATATACCGGATTTAACAAAGGTAATGTTTTTAAAAATTACAAATTTTTAAAAAGTTAAATCTTTCTTTGCTATAATAATATATCTTCATTAATGAAAATTTGAATACTGAAATGAAAAGTATTTTTATAGGCACCAAGTAGCTTGTTAGATGCATTGGAACAACATCTTGCATCATTAGAAGGGAAAAAGGGCTCTGCTGCAAATACGCCAACGCAGTCAGCAAGGTATGTCAGCTTTCTTCGTATATTGATTTATTTACAAAAAAAAAAAAAAAAAAAATAATAATAATAATAAACAAGGTAAATGGAAGAAGAGAAAATAGAGAGAAATATTTATTTTTAACGTATCAAGCTGGCATTATATTTAAGTTTTATTAATAAATTAGTAAAAAATGAGATCTTCTTCCAATATTTTCATTAAGCTTGCAATAATTTTCATTTTATTGCATAATGAATTGTTCCTAATGTATCAGTTTGAACGGATACGAAGAATGATAAGTAAAAATGTTTAAAATAGAAAAAAAAAAAAAAAGAAATTTTTTTTTTTTAACATTATGAAAATCATATAGGAAAATTGTTTAATTTATAGAATTATTGCCCAAGAAAATCAAAATCATTATTTCCTGTCATTTGTCATTACTTTACGGCTTTGGTCCAGTCATTCGGTAATTTCGAATGGCTGTTCACCATCGGTCATATCACAATTAAATCCTACAAAACAACTTAATTACAAACATCTCTGTCTACTCCTTTTTTTTTTCTTTTTCTCAAACATAAACCTCTTTGTAACTATCGTTAATTTATTTGTAGATCAATTGGACATGTGACACGGCTCATGTTTATTTAATACTTATACATAAAAGGAAATTTTTCTCTCTGTTTAATTTTGCTTACATGCTTTTTAGTTATGAGGTAATAGAAACGTAAATTAACCTTTGGAGCCTTTATCTTTCTATCATAACATCTCTCTTCTCTCTCTCTCTCTCTCTCTCTCTCTCTCTCTCTCTCTCTCTCTTTCTCTCTCTCTCTCTTTCTCTCTCTCTCTCTCTTTCTTCTCTCTTTCTCTCTCTCTCTCTCTCTCTAAATATCTCTCTAAATATCTCGATTGTTGTGAAAATTTTATTCTATATAATAGTCATAATATCGCATTAAAATATTTTTTTATACAGATATTTCCATATATTTATTGATTTTCTATATATATATTGATAATGGCTCAAAAGGTTGGATAATTTATATAAATATAATTTTTTCTTTCTTTTTTTTTTGTTTACGATTTGTACATACTCATTTGCATATTAAAATCACATTTCGATAGTCTATGCAAATGTAAAATATTATATTCGGCTTTTTTTGTTTTATTTTGCTTTTTATGTAATATTTTATACATCTCGTATAAGAGATGATATATGTGCTGAAAAAGATATAATTGGAGTAAAAGGACGATTTGACTGGCCAGAGCCTTAATGTAATTTTCAATATTTTCAAATGGCAAACGCAAATAAAATTATGTTATTGAATATGGATACTTTCATCTATTGCTTAGATTGTATCTTATTAATCATTGAGAGAATAATAATTGAAAAGATTTCTTTATCTTATATTTTCAATGTAAGAAAAAAAAAAGGAATAACAAATAAATATATATTCATATTTCTATAGTAATGCTATTAAAATAATGAGAACATATTTATATATACAGAATAATATGATAATATAAATAAGAGTCATTGAAATAAGATTTGATTAATAAATAAATAAATATAATTCATGATATCATATATTATTTGAAAGAACTTAGTTAATAATGTAAAATACATATTGATATTAAATGTTTATATATAATAGTCTGACTATCTATGTGACATATAAAATGATATTACAGCACATGTATTTATCTAAAGTTATGTATGCTTGGTAATGTAAATACCGTCGTGTGTAGCGTATTATGGATGCGTTCGTGATGTACACGCTTCTACGATGCATAATACGTAGCTTATTATGAATCGTTTTATATATAGTACAGAATTTCTCTCATTTATCAGACTTTCTCGTAGAGAATAATAATTAAATAAATGCATGTGTAAGTTTTTAAAAGCTATTTAAAGTATGAGGTGCACACAATTACTTAATTTTTTTTCTAGGCACTGTCGCATTTATACGTACTACACTACTCTTCTTTGTTTTTTGTTTGTCTTCTCCTTTATTTTCTATTATCAACTCTCCCTTTTATTCCTTTCATCACATTTATTTGTGCTAAAACAAAATCTCCTCCTTCTCTTTTCCATATATGTATATATATATATATATTTATATATCTATGTATGTATGTATATATGTATATATATATCCTACTTTTTCCCAATTACACACAATCCCCACGACCTTATCATTATCCAAGCAGCAATAGAACGAATATAAAGTCGGGAGTGTCCGCCCTGTCTTCCACCAGTACCGCATTTGGAACGGCAGCTAGTAACGCACGGCTCGATCATACTGGAAATGGACATATCGATGAAGCATTGAGGCAACAAGCTCTTGCGGAAGAAGAATCAGCTTTGAATCAGTACAAGGTAATCTTTTTATAGTTATACATGTCATTAAATACATATTAAATTAGCCACTTTAATTGGTAAACTTCGGAGTCTTCTTATTTCGTGTTTTTGCGTTTATGCTTTTGTGGTAATCGCAAAAGTGTTTACAAGATAAACTTATATGCAATTGCATTTTTCTAATTTAGGCAAAAGTGCAATCACCCCCAGGTGGTCCAAGTACAAATCCTTTCTTGAGTTCACCTACCAACAATGCCAATCAACCAATAGTTGATCTATTTAGTGCAGCACCATCAACGGATAGTCAGGTAATTGGATATTTTAAAAATGTAACAGGATATATTTTATATTTCTATTATTTACGAGGCAATTTCGAAACTTTTACGTCAAAATCAATAATAATCTTAGATATCTACATATATACATACTAAGAGCACAATCATGACGGCAGATGCAACATTAGGAATCACAGTCACACAGTTTTTATATCCTGGATTTCGAGTTTCTAAGAAATATTTGTTTGACTTAAGTCTCTTTAGTCTTATTAGTCCTTGTTTTTCTATAATTCGTAATAATTATTGCTCGTGTTCATCTATGATATTTTTTACAGGATATTTTTTTTTTCTTTTTTTTTTTTTTTGACCTAACATTGCATACGTTTACCGTAATTAATTGCTACAGCATGGCAAGATGTGTGAGCCTATTTATTATTTTCTTTTTTTTATGGATCACTTACAAATTTGTTCGTTTAATTTTAATGTATATCAAATGTTAATAACTCTAATTGTTTATATTATATGTATATTATTATCGAATAATATTTTCAAAAGTTATATTAATAATTCATTATAAAATTAATATGACAAACCATATATGTATATATATGTCGTATAGATATATACGTGTATTTCGAAAAGATTTTTATGATTAGTACTAGATAAATTAATATTTAATATAAAAAAAAAAAATTATGTTTTATGATATTTTAGCCACAAAAAGCATCCGACGATTTGCTACAACTGGCAGGAAATCCTTTCGCAGATATGTTTGGCGCGCCACAACAAGCTCCACCTGCACAGTCTGCACAAGTACAAAATAATATGTGGATGACCAACGGTAATGGTAAATGCAACATTCGCTTAATTTTTTTATATATATATATATATATATATATATATATATATAATTTTTTTTTTTTTTTTTTTAGTTGTTTTCTTTATTTTTCTATTTTCCTATGATTTTTTCTTTGCTTTTGGTTTTTTAGGTTTTGCAGCGACACCAGCAAATAATAACTTTGTTACAGATAATAGCTTTTCCTCTGTTTTTGGAAATCAGGATCAACAGTCAAGTAAGTATTTAATTTTCATTTAATTAGATAATAATAAGACGTTAAAAAGTCATTATTTCAGTAAATTTTTATATTTTACATTCTCTATTTTCTTTTTATTATAAATATCGTTCTTTTGGCACAGAAAATCTTTTTGCCTGGTTTGTACGATCATTTGTAATACACACTTACACAGGTTACATTATTTCAAAGTTGACGTATTATCTTGGATTTATACAATTTACGCACATATTATACATACATACATATATATATATATATATATATATAAAACACTATGATGTTAATAAGAACATTTTATCTGCTCGATGTTCTAAATTTGTCGTATAATATCTCAGACCTATAGAATACCTTCGCATAAACACTTAACTTTATTCATTTATTTATGCAGTCATATACAAATTAATTTTGTAAGAGATGCATTTTTCAAAATAAAATTTTCGAAGACTCTACAGATTTAAATTAGATATATTTGCAATATTAAGGATTCGATGAGGCTGAATTCTTATTAAATTAGCGAATGTTGTGTTTTCGTAGACTGTTTGATGCATTTGTTGCAAACGTTTAAGATGTAGTTGTGTAGTTATTATATAGTATATATGAAATGTCATGTTTTCGATAATCTAACAAGGATTTAAACGATAGTAGAAGATTTGCTATATACTAACAAACCGAAGCAGCGATGCGCAAGTATCTAAGAATCGTCTTAATTGTTTTAACTGCTATACTAACAAACACCGAAGAACATGTTAAATTGTGGAGCATTCGTTACACCATACACAATAATCATAACGAAACATCATCAAGGAATCATCGCAATCATTATTAATCTTAATTAATAGATGAAAGACATATGGCTTTAATACTGGCGCATCTCTCGAGAGAAGCAGTGCGATAATCGCAAGGATCTTTCCGAATTATTCTCGTAGAACGTAAGGCTAATCCACGCACATTAATAACTTTCTGCGCAAGCTGGTGCCCCAGGAACAGCCGGATCCGTACCTAATCCCTTTATGTCCGACTTCCCAACCGCCGCTTCCCAAGCTAGCAATGCAGCCGCTGCTCTAGGGCTGTTCGATCAAAGCGGCGTTACTGCCGGTAGTAACGTTGGCGAAGCTCAAGCAGCAGCAGCAGCAACAGCAGCAGCAGCAGCGGCGGCATCACAAAGCGGCGGAGACCTCTTCAGTGCCGGCGGTCAGGCAGATCTCTTTGGGGGCGACTCTGCAATGCTCAAGGCCGCAGATGGGAGCTCTGGGGACGTCGCGGCCGGCGGTGCACAAGTACCGTCGGCCGTTGCGCCCTCGACGGCTCTTACCTCTGGCAAGTCCACTGCCACGCCGCCTCCCAGACCACCGCCTCCCGCGACAGCTACCAATGGTACACCACGTGCATTGTCTCCAGCTGTTAGCGGAGCATCACCTGGTAGGCCAGCCTCGGGGCCTGCTTCAACTGCCGCCAATGCAGCCCCGAGCAAGAGTGCATTCGATGATCTAAATGACAGTATTCGCATGGCACTGGGTGGGTCTCCGTCGCGACCGGCACCCCTTGCTCAGCACGCTCCTCCTACGCAACAGCAGCAGCAGCAACAGCAGCAGCAGCAGCAACAACAACAACAACAACAGCAACAACAACAACAACAACAACAACAAACCATCGCAACAACCTGTCCAACAGGGCTTCGCCATGTTCGACATGGGAAGTAATATGGGGGCCACTGGCCACCCGATGATGGCCGGTGGCCAGATGGTTGGTTACGGTGTTCCTCCGTCGTCTCAAGTACCCCCTGTCGGCTATGGTTCTCCGGCTAAGCAGCCAATGTCAGGTGACGGGAATCTATCGCAACCACGCTAACTGCATGCTTCCGAAGCAAAATCGAAATTTTATCTTTTGTTCTTTTTTTTATTTTTCAATTTTAAACAATGAAATGTCCTTCGGGAAAAAAGATGACCGATTAGAATATCGAATGATTTCGATTTTGCTTCAAATATGGCTTTCATTTTCTGAGGTTTCATATTAACAATCTCAAATGCAAATGACCATTAACTGATATTAATCCTTGGAACTGCTTTTTTCTTTATTTTCTCCATTGCATGACCGCTTTTGTGACCTACTTTAACAACGAACTCTGCTCATTCTGTGGTAAGGACACACTGTATTACGGGGAAAGATAGAACAAACAAGGATGAGCATTCAAGATAATCTTGAATTTTTGGTGGATAATACAAGGGATATTCCACTTTCATAATCATAAGATTAAAAATTAAGTTAGGTCTCATTTTATGAATTCATGATCTAAAGCACAAACACAAAGTAATATTAGCATCAGTACGCACACAATAAAACAAAAATTACTTAATAAATATTTAGTTAAATATATACACTATTTATAAATATAGTTGTCGCTACACGTACAATAATTTTAATTTACTTGTCTATGTATTTTTATTAATTGGAATATACAATTATAAATTTTGCCATCTGAAATATACTTAGTGGTAGAATTAAAATATAAATAAATATTGCACGATCATTAGCCGAATAGATCGATATAGAACAATGATTAAAGTTACAGTAAGCTAACAATGATATTTAAGGTATAAATGATACTGTACAAAGCATTGCTCAGTATCGTGTTACATAACAAGTATTAAACAGCTAAGATTTTTTTCTATATAATTTAATTTTATAATTACTTATTTATATAATTACTTTTTATTATTATTATCATCATCATCATCATCATCATCATCATCATCATCATCATCATCATCATCATCATCATCATCATCATCATCATCATCATCATCATCATCATCATCATCATCATCATCATCATCATCATCATCATCATCATCATCATCATCATCATCATCATCATTATTATTATTATTATTATTATTATTATTATTATTATTATTAATATTATTATTATTATTATTATTATTATTATTATGATGATGATGATGATGATGATGATGATGATGATGATTATTATGATTATTATTATTATTATTATTATTATTATTATTATTATTATTATTATTATTATTATTATTATTATTATTATTATTATTATTATTATTATTAATATTATTATTACTACTATTGTTATTATACATGGTTACGCTAGAGTTTATAATAGAAAGATATTTGTAAAATATTAATTTACATTACATATACGTGCATATATCAAATTCATATTTTGGTTATGCTTTTATAAAATTCGGCTGGTGTATATATATGTATATATATATATATATGTATATATATGTATATATATATATGTATATGTATATTAATATATATATTGTAGGTATTGCTTAGACTTCTAAGAATTAAATTTGATGATGAGAGTATGTAGCACTGTGATTTTGGATATGATATTTCAGCAGCTGGACAGTCGGCAAATACGGCGGCAGCCAGTGGTAAAGTCCTTACTGGAGATCTAGATAGTAGCCTTGCCAGTCTAGCACAGAATTTGACGATTAATAAAAGTACTCAACAGCAAGTTAAGTAAGTCATTGTTTCCTCCTCTTTCTTATTTTACAAAAAATGTTTTCTTATTTAAAAGAAAAAAGAAAAGAAAGAAAAAATAATTCTTTCAGGGGAATGCAATGGAATTCTCCAAAAAATACGGCTAAAACCGGCGGCCCCGCTGGATGGACACCGCAACCAATGGCAGCTACTACAGGCGCTGGATATCGTCCTATGGTGAGCCTAATTAATCGATAATAGTTTTTCGAATTATTATCAGCACGTATGTCATGTATGTAAATACATTACACATTGTCTTGATCAGCTTTCACATTAGTGTTAAAGCTTTTGGATTATTGGGTTTTTATGTACATCAAATGCATTTTTTGCTAATTATCATGCACACAACACATAGTCAAGGTAGCACTAGTCACATTGCATAAAGTTACGGTATTCGAATTTCTATGATAAAAATGATAAAAATGGAATAGTTAATCTATATGAATTTATTTATTATACCTATAAACTCTTAAAAAGATTATAAATGTGAGCTTTAAAAAGTACAACATATGTGCTTTTTCAAGTTTCCTTTTAGAATTTGATTGATACCTAAGATCATAGTTCTTAGGTATTTATAAACAAATTTGTACAGAGTTCTTCTACCGTTTGGCAAATTTAGTTGTGATGCATGCATGGCATATGGCATGTTACCGGCTGTTCCAGGGTCAAGGAATGACGCAACTTCCTGCTACAACCACGTTGGCCTTTCCCCCACAGACAGCACCATTGGTAAGTTACGTTTTTATGAAACCGTCTTGTGGATTAGAAACTTGCCTGATATCGCTAATTCTTTCAAAGCAGTAGTGCGGAATTTCTAACTTACCGTAATGATAATAAACATCATTAATTTCCAATGAAATATTTTTTTTTAGATGTTTCATTAAAGCTACATACATTAATGTTAAGTACCACTGCATTAAAGAATTTGATGTTGCACTTTTTTATTGTACATTACTTGTTTATCCTTACTTTACAACTATGTATGCGCTATCCCAACTTTGTTACTAACTCGTTCCTGATAATATTATTTAGAAGAGAATATTACATTTAGATGTATAACCAAAACTTATTGGATTGCATTTCTAATAGATTATTAATCTTTGTATGGCTTAATAGAACGAATATTTTGAGTCTAGAATGTCAATTAAAAATTGAATAGAAAGTAAACAAAAATTATCAAGTCGTTATTTTTAGATGTAAATACGCGTAGAAAAGTTTGAGAAAAATTTTTATCAATGGACAATTGTCTGACAAAAATGAATTCCATCGTGGTTTTAAACAATTAACTTTTGTGATTCGTGACAGCCTCTTTCTTGGAATGCTGAAAAAAAAAATGAATTAATATGCTAAATACAGTTTCGGATAGTGGACATCTTTATTCTGGTCTTATTTAACACATTTCTGGTGTCTATAGGGTATGCAAGGTATGCCAATGGGCATGCAAGGTATGCAAGGTATGAGGCCGATGATGGGTACAATGCCAGGGCCCGCTGCTGGAGGTGGTGGTATGATGGTTGCGGGTGGAGCTGCCCCAATGATGATGCCTAATACAAATCCTATGATGGGTGCTAATCTTCAGCAGCAGCAACCACAACCTGCTGCTGCTCAGCCACAAGGCAATGCTGTTCAACTTGATCCTTTTGGTGCTCTATGAAGAGACTAGGTATTTGTTTAAAACATTTACCACAGTCTATAGACACCTCAATTGATTAATATCTTCTATTTATTTCTATTGAAATTCATTGGACGAAAAAGAAAAGAGACATTCATTCCATTAGCAATGTTTTACGTTATTCATTTATTCTTATTTTATTTTGTGCCTACATTAATAAGATTTTGCTTTTTATGTTTGTGATTAATAATCATGATAACCGAATTAATTTATCGAACCCGTGAAGCTAATAATAGAACGAAAGTAAATCGAATTAAATGGATATTAATAAATTTCACGCTATTTAGCAAAGTTGTAAAGATCTGTAATTAATATATATACAGACTTATAAATACACACACACACATGCCGTATACATAGTTATGTTAATCAAAAATATAATTTTAATGTTATATATATATATATTTTATATATATATATATATGTATATATAAATCGCTCCTATATACTATTCTCATTCATACTATTGAATATTATGAATCATTTGAAATGTTTTTTAAATAGACATAAATTTCTTCTGTTTCAGGATTTCAAATGGAATGATGGAAAGGAAGCACCGATTTTGTAAATAATGTTTAAAATATGCTTAAAAAATATGCCCTTCTTCTGATTGGTATCGATCTAGGTTAAATGCTCTTACCTTGATCGACCTTCGAACTTCGTTCAAAACCACGTTGTCTCTCACTGTTAATATAGTTTATATTTATATCATCCTTCTCGCGATCATTCGATCTTAGATTTGCTATTTGTATGTAACAATTGCCTTGAAGTTTTCCTTGTTAAATGTAATAAAAATTGTTCAAGATATGTCAGATTGAGAGCTAAAAAATTGCGTTTAGAATCACACATACTTATATATGTATATGTGCTATTGTATAATCGTATTTTGATTCGCAGATTTCATATATATATATCTACAAGTTATGGACAAAATTGCTCTGTGTATTTTGGAAGCTTTATAATAAGTTATTGCGCTGAAAAGATGAAGTATGACTTTTGTCCAAAAAAATAGAAAGATTCAAGGAATTCAGTGTGATTCTAAACGTTATTGAAAGATTAGATTAGGTACAATTGGCTGTTGCATGTGTTTATCTTACGTGAAAAAGAAGAAAAAAGAAAAAAAAAAAGAATCCTCGAAGAAAGGCGATATTCAAATAATAGTTTCACATCGGGCATCGATCTAGCATATCCATATAACATCATTACAATATTACTCCTTTTTAAAAATTTTTTTTTAGAAATTATTGGTTTTGGTCCAAGTGGAGGTTCACAATTATCCTATGTTAAAAGTATTAAATAATACTAATAATAATTAATTAAATAAATAATTAAAATAATAATAATAATAATAATAATAATAATAATTATTATTATTATTATTATTGTTATTATTATTATTATTATTACGTAATGAGATATCAGGTGGCGAGAATATGCATATATACGTATGTGCATGGAAAAATAAAAAAAAGAAATTATTATATGTATATATGCGTATAAAATAACCACAATTCTATCGAGTTTGAGGGAGATAAATGATGAGAACGAAGAAATGAAGCCGTATTTCATAAATGTTCTCTTTATTGTATTATTTCGAATATCTTAATTAGATAGTTCATTATTATGTATACAAGATTAATCTTAATTTAATTCTTTAGATATTAAGAACATATATACACACACACACAACACACACACACATACACACACATATATATATATATATATATATATATATATTAAAAAAAAGAAACAAAAAAAAAGATTACTCATACGATGTTCGCAAAATTATGAACGTACTCTTAATAAGTGATTTAGTATAATATACTATATATATATATATATATATATATATATATATATATATATATATATATATATATATATATAGAGTCAATAGGAATATTGTTGCAAAAGGTCTAACTGAAATTTGCTCCGCGTACGCAGTTGACTGTAAATGATTATAGTGTAATGTTGATCATAGAGATTGATGAGCATTTTTCATTATTATTTTCATTTCTTTTTATTGTTCTTTTTTTCTGCATATATTAATAAATATTTCTTCCTTTTTTTTTTTTGTTCTTAAATAATAGTAAAAATATAACATTAATTGCATACGCCGAGTAAATGTTCTTTGTAAAAAGAAGTTGCCGTGTACAGTAATAGAGTAGGAAAAAAAGTAGTGTTGACGATCGAAGCAGCATACAGTGCTAGTCTATCTTTATGCAAGAAGAGATTTAATGCAGTGCAATTTTTTGCAAGTGGGAAGACCAAAATTATATGAACGAATGATATTCTAATATTGAAATGTGTAGCTGATAGATACATGGCAGGTTCTGCTTGGCTTATTATTAAATTAATTAAAAATTTTCATCATGAAAAAGAAAAGAAAAAAGAGGGGAGGGAAGACGAAGAAGAAGAAGATGAAGAAGAAGTAGAAGAAGAAGCTCGCAATTATCAGGAAAAAACAGATTGAATTTTTAAATTATATTTTGTATTATTAATTTTACTTTTATATATAAAAGTAAATATACATATATAGTATCACGATAATCGCGAACTTCGTTAATAAAAATAGCTTAATCGAATTATATATTATATTTTTTATTATTCTTATTATTCTTATTATTCTTATTCTTATTATTATTCTTATTCTTATTCTTATTCTTATTCTTATTATTATTATTATTATTATTATTATTATTATTATTATTATTATTATTATTATTATTATTATTATTATTATTGTCAATATGTATTTAGAAAGAAAAAATTTGTCGAAGAACTTTGTCTTGCACTATTAGCTGCAGGTTTTTTATGACTGTCAATATGATCTTCCTATCTTATTGCTTATATATATATATCGGTCTCCTTTAATATTCATTCAATTATATACATACATATATATATATATATATATATATATATATATATTTTTTTTTAATTACTCGTTTATATTAAAATGAGATATTTAGTTATTGTAACTTATGAAATGTCAGTTTGCTTTATTTCTTAGCATTTTTTTTATATCTTAGAATTTCTTTAACTATCATTTAATAGGCAATCCAGTACTATTTAGTAAAAAAAAAAAAAAATAAAAAAAAAAATAAGTTGAATTGTATATTTTATATAATTTGTACAGAGACAAAGGCAAAGAGAGAGGGAGAGGGAGAGCTGTGAGAGAGAGAGAGAGAGAGAGAGAGAGAGAGAGAGAGAGAGAGAGAGAGAGAGAGAGAGAGAGAGAGAGAGAGAGAGAGAGAAAATGTCATTACATGTCGTATAAATTAATTACTTATTGTTAGTAATTCAAGATCGATGAATTTGAAGTTTACTTTGATTTATAATTTTATTTTCTTCTTTTTCTCGGCTCCTTTGTACATCAATACGATTATTATTTCTAAAGACTTCGTTAATTATTATTATATGTCATTTATAGTTGTAAGAACTTCATGGCACGTACTGAACTATCTTCAATTCTATATTTGGTGAAATCGATGGATTGTTAATACTATATATACATACATAAGTGTATATATATATATATATATATACTTATATACACATACACACATTGTTATAAAAGTATATAAATATACGTATATAAAATTTGCTTGTGAAGAAATATATAAATTCGTTTGAGTTTCTAAACAAAAATCTGCTTTGATATAAAAAATGTACGAATGATTAAAATATATAATACGAGTGAAACGAGAGAGAGAGATTGTGTGTGTGTATGTATGATGTATGTATAAATATATATATATATTTATATATATATATGTATATATATATTGTATGTATGTACTTATGTATGTATGTATATGTATGTATATACATATATATATATATATTTCTCTGGACGTAGTAAATTATTTTTCATTAAGCGATATTAATTTTCTCTTGTTTTTATATATTTTTGTATGATATGGGTGAAGGAATAACGAATGTGAAGACAATTAATTTGTAAAATAATAGTTGCGGGCCATGCTACACACACACACACAAACATACACACACACACACACACAGTATAATTCAAGAAAATATCTCCAGTAGGTTTAACACAGTAATTATATAACTCTCCCTTTTTTTTTACGTTTCTTAAATGTATTAATTATACGGGGTGCCGTTGTAACGAAGTAAATCAATTTTTATCAATGTAAAATAAAACAAGACATGATCGATGAGTTAAATTTAATTAAAAATCTATGAAAATAATTACTACATGTATTAATATCTAACATTACTAATATTTGAAATAATCTAATATATCGATTAAATTTATCCTCTCGATCAAGTCTTTTCAATTTCATATTGATCGAAATTATTTATCTTTGTTTGAATTTTTGTCATGTGTAATACTCTGTAAAAAAGTGAAAGCGATCGAGTATCAGAAATTTTTGACTTTTTTTCCTTAGTAGATGATAAAGGAAATAAAAGGAAAATTAAAAGAAGAATAATAATAAGAAGAATTACGATTTGAAATTTATGTATCTAAAAGGGAATGAATGAAAAGATTGTCAAGAGATCTTTGCCAAATTTATGTTTAAGGGTTATCATTTGACGTCTGTTAAAGTGTCTTATCGTAATAAATCATTTCTTCGTTTTATTACAAATTCAATTGGAATCGTCCAATTTAGGATTTCTTTCTTTCTTTTTTATTTATTTATTTATTTATTTATTTATTTATTTTATTTTTTTTTCCGTTTCTTTTCGAAACAGACACTTTCTGCAGGCGTCAACGAAACAACAAGACAGTAAAAAAAAAAAAGAAAAAAGAAATACCATTGAAATATCTCATTCGAGATTGATTTGTTTACGATGTTTTAACAGCAAACATATCTACTGTATTGATGATAGTAGAGATATGTATATCAATTGTTTGTATCGAGAAATTCTTTTGAAAGAAAAATCGCAGAATTGTGTTACTTTCGTGAAACATTAGAAATATCTTAAATCGGTAGATAGATAATCGGGGAAAAATATTAAAACATACGGAAGCTATGGAGATACATAAATAACATACTTGTTTCATTATTGACGATCGCGTATCGATTTCACGCGTAGTCCTATCGAAATATGAGTTCGATCATCGTATTATATATTAATTAGTCGACGAGTAGAATTATATTAGGATCGAGATGAACGTAAGTAAGGAAGATCGCAGGTCGATCGTTAGATGATAATAGTGTACTGATTCTTTAACTTAAAACAGTCATGTTCTTAAAGACTGAAGAATGTAAATGGGAGTAAACGAAATTTTCATCTTTAATTTATAGAAAAAAAAAATAAATAAATAAAACGAAAGAAAAGAGAGAGAGAGAGAGAGAGAAAGAGAGAGAAAAGAAAAAAATTGCGAAGATGAGAGCAACAACCAATTGCATGATAAAATATGATGGAAGATCGCTATTGTGTGTCAATCGACGAACATTGAGAAATTTCATTTAATCTATAGAAAATCCAAAGATTTCTCTGCGCGTAAAATATTCTTTTTTTTCTCTCCGAGAGAAAATATTATAAGGACGACGATGAAAAAAAAAAAAAAAAATATATATATATATATATATATGTATATATATATATATATAAAAGAAAAAAGAAAGAAAAAAAATAAAAAATAAAATAAAACGAATTAAAAAGTAAAAAAGAAAAGGAAAAAAAAGGAAAAACCAGATAAAAAGTAAAAGATAAATGACACAAGAAAGTATCATCGAATGTTTTCACTCGTTGCACAATAGGGACACGAAAAGTTTGAAGATGAATTATTATAAATAAGATAAACACAAGGCAATGTCTAAACTTACTGGCAATTAAATGTAACAGGACAATATTATATGTACTATTCCGCACTTTATAGCGATCGTAGATAATTTTAGTCTAATGGTTAGTGAAGAATTAACGATGGACTTTTCCAAATTTGATCGTCTTGTCGCCATCGCTGCCGCCGTCGCCGTCGCCATATTGGTACACACACATATATACATGTATATATATATATATATATATATATATATATATATATATATATATATATATATATTTATGTGTGTATACGTGGATATATATATGTGTATATGTGCATATATATATATATATGAGTATGTACTAATGATCGTTTGCTTGTACTATGTACTATTTAAAAGAAGATGATGAGATAAAAAAGAAAGAAACAAAAAAATGTCCATTAAGAGAAATCATCCTCAGAGAATATCTACGGGGTAGAGCCATAAGTTCTTAGATGATTTTTTAAAACTTTGCGAGCCCCGATAATTTTTCTTTTCAGATTGTTAAAATTAAAAAGCCAGGAATTTTTTCTTTTTCTTTCTTTTTCTTTTCTTTTCTTTTTTTTTTCTTTTTTTTTTTGTAATCTGTAAAAAAAGAAAAGTAACAGAATTAGCCTAAAAATTGACTTTTAATTGACTTTTAAAAATTATCTAAGAACTTTTGACCTCGGCCCCTTTATATATTTCAAAGGAAAGAAAACGATTTACCATTTGCAACATTGTTCACCAGCGTATACGAAAGATAAAAATGTTGTTGTTAATATAATTATTTATTGATTAATATGTTGCAGTCAATCGGTTCTTCTTATCTTTGAATGATTCTTAGTTTCCGATCGATTTTACGATTGTAGTAAGGATTCGATGTCGACAAATTTTTTTCCAACGTAAAATCAATGCTTTTCATCGTAATATATAACTGAGAATGTTATAGGATACATATGTACATACA